CGCTCAAGACGGGTTGGTGATTTGAAACTTATAATTGTGAAATGATAAGTCCAGGTTTCCTCAGTATGTCAGGTATGTCAGTGGTGTCTTAATACTCTCAGAAAGTACATATGACTCGGAAAAATCACATTGGCACTTGCCAGGTTTGAACCCGCGCCCTTGGCAACGAGAGGCGGGCCCTTTAACCACTAGGCCACCACTGACTAAATTTATGATTATTCTATTGATTAATATAAATGTTTTATATGATTTCATCTACATCTAACTAACTCAAAAAATCGTTGCCATATATGTACATATACCGGCCTAGAAGTAAAAGTTTCACATTTAAAACATCTATAAGAATTAAATGAGGAAAAATAAAGAGATTCGTCCCTGTTTATATAAATCGTTCTGGAAAAAATATCTTAAACATTAAAATATTAAATAAAAGATATATTATAACTTATATAAATATATGAATTCTCACTCAAAATGTAATTAATATTTGGCTCTATTCTTTTTAAAACTTTTTAACGGCTTAAGTAAATAACAATTTAAATTTCAAACAAGACAGGTATATGTATTTTATGTAGATAGGTATTACGTGGTAGGTAGGTACATAAATGTGTATAAATTCGTTATTAATTAATATAACGACAAATCTCAAAACAATTACTGGTTTTAAGGATAATTTAAATTTAATTTTAAATTAAATTAAAATTATCCTTAAAAACAGTAATTACAGTAGTAACCATTAAAAACTTTCGTTATTAACGAAAGTTTTTAATTGCCTTGGTGTGAAGAACTACTAAGGAATGTTAAAATGAATGCAACACTATTTCGGAATTAGTGCATGCTATTTGTCACTGTATAAGAGTATGCAATTACATTGATAAAATTAATTACAATCCTAATATTGTATAATGATAGCGAACAATGTCGCTTGGATTCATTTAAATGAAACTAAGGTTTTCGGATAGATATGAGCGTTGTTTATTTATTATTTTAAAACTACATACTACGATATGAAAGTTTCTTTTCATCTCGTCTGCCCGTAATCACGGTTGCTGTAAACTGTAAAGGATCCAAAACGTCGGGAGTATGTAGTTATAAAATGAGAAAAAATACGTAGTATCCGAAATCTTACTTTTATACTATTATATAATAATATTTGTTTTTGTGTTAAGTTACCACACTACTTTGAAACTCGCCATTTTTAAAGTGAGTTTAATAATGATAAACCTAATGTTAAACCATTTTGTTTGTTAAACCTTTCTTAAGGTGAAATAGATTTTGACTTTGACAAAAATATTGAGATTTTTCAAAGTAGATACTTACTTTATTTGAAGGTATTAATAATAATTAGAACTTTGCTGAAGTTCTTCGAATGAGGAAGTATAGGTACTATTAATAACTAAGCCGAAGCCTAACAAAGCGAAAGCACTTTAACAGTAATGCCATTTTTAACTGATACCCAATATTGAAGATTCGTGATTTGATTACTTATACTTTATCTAAATAACCATTTGAATAATTATCTTTGCTTTCAATATACTTTAGCCTCAGTCAGAATTTATATAAAACTAGCAGCAACGTGCTGTAATAAATATAATTTTTGAAAGTCAATTTAGTTGTGTATATTGTGGTCTATCCACAAAAATAAATGAACAAACCTAACCACCATCTTTTTCATTGAATAATATATATCTTAAAAGAGGTTTTACAAACTTTGATGGCATTTAAACATAAAGAATAGAAACTGTTTAACGGCTACTACATTTTACAACGAACTCTTTCATATAATTGCATTATATTCGTCATTAAAATATAAACATAGTCTATTAAGTGTTAAAGAATGATTGTTTTAAAAACGATTGTCATTAATTTATATAATAATTCATTATATTTCCATTATCTTCTTATAAACCGAGAATATAATAGTTTTATATGCTAGTACCTACTGTCACTGTATAGGTATGAACATGCAAAAAATAAATATTAAAAAATTGCGAAAACCCGTTTAGCGAGAAAGACAACTGAAGTAATGTTATTTGTACAACTAGATTTTTTATTTATCAACTGACACCCACAATTTATAATTAAAACATTGAATGCGGATTCGCGACACATATATTCAACAGAATTAACTAACACCAAGTCGTTAATTAGCGTTTGATTTATTTTACCTTCAATAATACAATTATATTATATATATAAAACATGAAATAATTCGCGTCAATTTATTTTTGTTGCTGTAATTAAGTATTGCAATCTGCATGCGAGACGAATCGATGTAACACATTTAATGCAAACTTAACCATTAATATAAAAATATAAATTAATAAAATTTTAGTATAACAATGATAAAAATAACAAAGTGTTGAAATCTATACTCAATACTACTCTTACAAGGAAAATGAAAATGGTAGTGTGGTAAGTTATAAGAAACTCTACAAACTTAAAATTATTTAATTATTTAATAAATATTAAATAAATAAGCCACATACATATAGGTATTTCATAGATTAAGCATGGACTTTATGTACTGTGTAATTGTAAAATAAAAATTCTTATACACCAGTTTGTATACACCGTTGCAGAAGTTAATTTACAGCTCTATTTCCTCTTAACTATTTTTATATATCACTGTGTCGGGTATAGTTTGGGCCTTATTTATTTTAAGTCAATTGTATATAACACATTTTTATTATTAGGATAATTAATAATAACTTCACAAAAATTATTGCCTTGTATTTTAAATACTCTGCTTGGAGTCAGTGGTGGCTTAGTGGTTAAAAGGCCCGCCTCTCAGGCACGAGGGCGCGGGCGCGATCCTGGCTCTGGCAAGTACCAATTTGATTTTTCCGACTCATATGTACTTTCTAAGAGTATTTAGATATCAATGATTAATGCATTTCCAAAGAGGGTTGATATCAGGCATGCGGCCGGTCGTAAAAACAATTAGCCTAAACTATTCACATATATGTAAGGCAGACCCTGGCTAAAGCTGGGAAATTGCCAGGTAGAAAATGATTTTACATACTCTGCAAAAATAATTACATAATAATATTTTGAATACTAACTGAACATACATACGTATAATATTACGTTATAAGGAACTTGTTCTGACCCACGACTTCTTCCGTGTACAACAAAAACTAAATAAGTACGCAAAACCAAAATTTTTCTTGCTTTTTTGATGTTCACAATATTATTATTATTTTCAGAAGCGCTTTTTTGTCTTTATTTATGTACGTAAGAATAAATCACAGAAATAGCAGACACCTATTCATAGTTACGGGTAATTAATTTTGTGTTTGTTTTTTTAAGACTGTACGCTTAGAAATTTTACTTTAGATACCAAAAAATAGTTTGTATTATCTAAGACCACTTGATACTTTGACTTTTTTCTATATTGATTCACTTATAGTTCTTCAACATGAAACATTTACTTATAATAATCTCGTACTTATAATATTACAGTCTATGATATTAGTTTATTTAGACAATTAGTACCTACATAACTAGAATTTGAAAAGAATTAACAATTTTTATATACTTTTGTAATTATTATACCAAAGTTAATAAGATCTAAGACTTTAGCGGATATTCATTATAAAACTAATACTTTCAGATTTACTACGCGTTTTATATATTTTTTTCATCTCGTCTGCCAGTAATCACGGTTGTTGCAACATAACCGAAACGAAAATTATGTGGTTAAAATAATAAAAAGCGCATGGTTAATCAGAAAATATGAGTTTCATGTATAATAATTTTCCCAAAACTTGTTACTAAAATCAACTACGAATTTTATATAAATTGCATGTAAATCAACAATATCTTAATATCTGTCTAGACAAAGACCGAAAAATCACAATTTGCACCGCACAATCAATTGACCTTCCTCAAAACGGTCAGCTTCGATTTTGTTAAAATGTTCATGGATCATGTTGTCAATTAAAAAAAGCCATATAGACAACAGTCCGCCTACAACCAATTATTGTATTACCAAATTTTTTATTATTATTTTTGTAACATTAATATGTATTTGCAGTTCTATATTTGACAATGTAATTTTTATTTAGGGTTAGCAAGGTATATTAGCCGTATTGTCTTTAAAAGATACCCCTCGTAAAAAAAAGATATTAGCCGTATTATTAACTTAAGTTTTCCAGAATTATACTTACATATAAGTACATTAGGGTTTTTTGATTACTTAAAAACATCTCTATATAAAAATCTTCTAAATATATTATGCCAATTTTGAGACATGATATTTTATTAGAAAAATACCAACGTAGGCACTTTTGTTTTTACTTTGTTAGAGTAATTCAAATATATACTCTTTTCATTGTAGTAAAGACTAGATTTTATATATTTTAAAAACAAGTCATGGTTCTGACATTACATTTTAAGTAAGTAATTTCTAGTCAGGTGTAACTTTTAATTATTATTTGAAGAAATTTATTTGTGTTCGCATCAAACTTCTCGTTCACTTGTGCTATAGTGTATAATATATAATGTAGTATATAGGCAGTTGATTCTACATGAATATAAGAAATAATTGAGCATTAAATATGCATAATTAAAGTTATATTCACACTCCCGACGCATTCATTGAGTAAACTCCGTAGAACGACATATAGTTTAAATTAATATATTAATAATATAATATGTATGTCATATAGCAACTAGACGTTGCACGGAAGGTTTTGGTTATAGTTGTAAAAAACATTTAATACAGATTTCAATAGTTATCAAGAAAACTTCATATAAAATTAAGAGATATTTATATAAACTAACAGTGTATATAGCATTACTTTTGCTGGCATTTTATATGTTATAACCTCCGCATTAAAATAAAATATCAAAGAATAATACGTACAACTATATAATTTAACAAACTAACACTGTTGTTATTATCTTAAGTTAACTTATCAGTGGATCGAGTTTGGAGTTATGTCAAACAATTATTACATTTCTAAATAAAATAGAAGGTAGTTTTAAATAAAAACCTGGATTTGGCTGTGACTGATAGCTGGGTTTCTTCATCCATTCATAGGGCGAGCGCGGCGGAACCGGCGGCTGCGCTGACCTGGACCCTGGAGACCCTTCTCCTGGGCTGGCCAGGTCACCTCGTGCTGGTGAATGCATCTCCCCGACATCTCTCTCACCCGGCTCGCGCTTGAAGTGATGAGGGTCCGATGGCCATTCCCCAGCCGTCGGCGCTCCGTTCCACGCACACCACTGCTGTTCCTCAAAGTTCTGATGCTGCCATCCGTACCAACCCCCCGCGCCGTACTGTCCGCCCTTGCCCTGGTACATGGCGAGCGGATTGACGTAATTCACCATGTTACAAACACCGTCCGAGCATTTCACATACACTCGCAGTCACAACACTACTGGCTATACGTTATATACACAACGCGGGATGTGTCTCGACTGAGCTAGTGTGGTCTGCGGCGAGGTATCTCGGGTAGCGGAGAGCGGGCAGCGTGAGGGGCGGAGGCTGGCCGTCGACTTGCCAATGGAAGACGAGCTCGGTAAACCCGCCCCGGCATCAACATGCCGCCGCGCCCTGCGCTATCATTTAATTTGCCTAATTAAAACAAAAATAATGGACACCGCCGTACCGTAATGAAGTCGGACTGAATATTTCTGAAATACGTTTTATTTTAGTACCTTATAAATATCTTGGCATTGTCAGAGTTTCATTTAGGTATTTATGATAAACATTAGTAAATTGAAATGCTTGACATTGATTTTGTTCCTTGAACTAAGCACTTAAAATCTGTAATACATATTATAATGTTAAAAGTCATATGTTTTATAAATAGGTTACTTATTTTACACCTTTTACCTAAACATCGCGTCCGTCTCCTAATTTTCATTGCTAGGTAAAACTGAGTGGATGTTAGCAAAACAAATGGGTAGGTACTTACCTTAACTGATTTGCGTTCACATAAGTAATACTTAATTTAATTAATTTAAAGTACGGATAAGTTATACAATTTCTTTGATATGTATAATGTATATACTTACTCTACATTCAATTATAATTCACAACTAATAAATAAAAAAAACACACACATTGTAAAATATACTTATAACTTATATACCTATAGTTGTGACATGATAATTTATAGGTAGGTAAGTATTTTTTTTTACTATAAATACTCATCCGGTATTTTCAAGTAGAATTAGATACTCAGATACTTTTGTTTAATTTCCTATTTATTCTAACTAGCTAAAACTTAATAAGTATGTGTTATACGCATTAAGGCAAAGTTAGCTACTTATATTTTATTATTTTATACGACTTAATGTAGAAAACATACATACACTTACCTACACACATATATAATAATATATATGTGTGTATGTGTGAAGGATGTACCTACTTACTTGTAAATTTATATCATTAATATAAATAGTATCTAATAAATATTTGTAAAAAGAGTTGAGTACGAAGTGTTTTCAATAATATTGAAATATTTAACATCAGCTCAAACTATATATTTATTTCGTATAATCATAGATAAATAGGCACGGCTTAAATAATACATATATATACAAATAACAAATTGCTGCATTAAGCTTGCAAAGCTGCCGACGCGGCGCTAAAAACAAAATTTCAGGATATTTCCATAAAATTCGATATTGTTTTGTGTTCATGAACGAGAAAAACCGTACGGTAATGTTCCTTATCTCCCACAGTAAAACCATTGTTTTATTTCTAAAAGCGCATTACCTGCTATTGAACTACATTTAAAGTTATTATTACTATATCTTTGAAACGTCCGTTAAACAATTGTCGGTGTTTAAGCTCTTATTTTGGGTTGGACCATAAAATATAAAAACTTAATAAACAAACTACGTTTAGCGGGGAATTCCTCGACAACTAAATGTGTTACATCTTGCCCAGAATATATACTTAAGACATATGTAGTGTACATAATATAAGTACATGGAAAACTATAGTTTGAAACAAGGTTTTTATGCACTATTTACGTGTAGGTAGGGTTAAAAGTTGCAGACTTAAGGATGAATGGGAATAATTTCATATGACGAAATATTTGCCTATAAGTACCTACATACTTATATATTATTTAAAGGATAGTAAATAGATGTTAATAGCATCATTTATATTATGTATAGTACTTAATATCAATTGATATTTTTATGTACCTATTGTTGTATGTATATAATACTATAGTAAACTAAATTCGATTCTTTCTATACAACAACAATTTTAGATATAGGTTCATAGTTTTATCTATATAGGTACCTAAGTATAAAACAGACCTAAGTTCACATAAGCTTGTATTACAATATAAATAGTAGGTACATACTTTTAAAAAATCTCTTTTTCCTATGATGATTAGGTACCTACCTACGTCTAAATTCTTAAAAACTCTTTGGTGATTAAGAAAATTTCCCTTGTGGCAGCTGTAAGAGAGCTTCGCAAAATATTATAAGGAAGCCTCCCAAAGACCTAAAGGTGTACCTTTATATCCCTACTAATACTTTAAAATCAATAGTAACTCTGTCTGTCTGTCTGTTACGCTTTCACGCCTAAACCACTGTACTGATTTTAATAAAATTTGGTACAGAGATAGAGTTTAAAGAACATAGGATAGTTTTTATCCCAGACTTTTGAAAGGTTCTCTTTGAAATTCGATTTAACCGAACTCCACGCGGGTGAAGTTGCGGGCGGAAAGCTAGTATGTATATATAGGAATATTAAACTTAAATTTTATTTTTTCATTGCACCTTAATTGTCTATCTCCTTTATGCTTAAATATCTTTATATGTTGAAAAAAGTATATAGGGGAGAGTTGGTTATATCGTACTAGTATTTAAATCGTACCACCTCTTAATTTCCCATTTAATGAATATTTTTTTTTACATTGACAACGCCAAATCGTGGCCCTGTACCATCCCTCTTCACCCACTAGTTTACATCGACGTGAGTTAACAACTCTCCTCGTAATAAAAGAAAAACATTTTTTGTAGGAATTAATATAAATATTGTCGTACATTCGTAAGGAGATAACTCGTAATCAAGGTTAGCTATAGTTATTCATTTTTTTTTATTATTCTACAATCGTATACTAGATTATTGGGGGTTTTTGTTGCGTGTCTAAGTTTTGAGTTTATGCTGGATATTTGCTTTTGTTTTAGAAATGCCTCAGTTGGTTTAATCGTACCACTTGCAGTTGGTTAAATTGTACTGGTACGATTTACCCGACTACCAACCGCAAGTACCTATAGTACTACCGCAAGTACGTATAGTAAGTACTACCCAAGGCCAAAAACAAAAGTTATAAGAGGAAACGATCTCATTCCATCACCAGTAGCGATGATTCAGGAGAGACACTTGTTGTAGAACTAGATGATGATGATGACAGCGATGATTATCTTGAAAATATATGTCGAAAGTGCAATTGTTCTTACTACGATAAGAAGGGCCCAAAAGTTGATTCGATTCAATGCGTTCGCTGTAAACGGTGGCTACATGAGACGTGTACTTCGAATTTTTGAAAATATTTGTCATGATTGTTTCCATTAAGAAATATGCACAATAATTATATTACAAATAACATTCTTGTTAACTGTTACTTTATTATTATAGTTTACTGTTTTTTTATTCGTCTCATTTTTATTAGTTATGTTGATTGACCTCATTATCATAGTATAATCATGTTATTTTACTGAGAAAGCTTATAGTTCCTTTATATAACCTAAGAGTTAAAAATTATGTTTCTATTACCTAAAAGATATAAATAATGTTGTTTTATTACTTGCCTAACAGTCAAAAATAAATGTCTTTCATTCAGTGGTACGACTTAAATACCCATGGTACGATTTAAAGACTTAGTGGTACGATTAAAACGACGAGTCGGCTAAATCGTACCGATGGCAAGCCTCTATAAAAAAGCATTTTTAACAATGTTAGAATAACCGCAGGGATCTGTTCTCTTCTTCTTAGGAAGCTAAAATATGAAACTTTATTTTACATATGTATTAATTATTATAAGACGTGTTATAGTCGAAATATTTGAGTTAAAGTGAAAAGTGGTACGATATATCCGACTCTCCCCTACCTATACACATAATAACTATTTTTTTTTACATATGAGTTAGATAGAGAGAGGAGCTTGGACGGTGGAGGTAAATATTTAACATTCATTAGATCGTAGAAACACCTGGGTCGCAAGTCCCAGGCACTGTTAAAGCTTCTCTTCCTGCAACGAGTTTTACCCGGCACCCGCACGATGAATCCATGGAATGGTGAGAAGTTTCGTCTTTTAGACATACGAGTACCTTTTATAGACTCCAAAGTCCTATGTCACCATTTTACTCATTATACCTACCAATCAATGTTGATTCTTTTCAACGTGTTGTTAATAATTAGGTAGGTATGTCTACCTACCTAAGTTTATCAACATAATCCGAGTATCTACTAAATATCTACTATATTTATATTTTAAAAGAATAATAAAGTCAGCAATAACAGTAAATAGTGATGCAACTGGAAATTGTAGTTAGGTATATCGATAGGAATTTAAAAGTAGCTTTGTTTCAACGGCCAGCAGTCTGTTAATGTTGAACTTCAAATCTAGTTTCAGCGAGATCAACCGTGGACAACAACTTATATAAAACAGTCATTATAGTAGAGTTGTGTTTTTAGAATAAAACTAACACAAGTCCTAAAACCTCGTCTTTTCTTATATAACGATAGATAATTAGAATTAGGTTGTTTGTCATCTAGTTTATCGCTTAATTACATAAAAAACACTTTAATACCTAAAAACTCATGGAGAAAATATTTTTTTTTTTAATGTAGCTAATTCCCGTAATATAAATAAATTAATCAATCATCAACTGCTATCTATTATATTCATGATTTTTCAGCCATCTAACTTTTAAGAAAAGCTGAACGGATGACTTGAATACCATGTCTAATATAAATTGAAAAATTCGTCTTAAAGATCAGGATTCTTATAACTAACTTCTACACTTCTACGAACATGAACAGTTTGTTTTTATTATTAGGATACCGATTACCGTGTCCTCACTTGAATCTGAATTTTCATGAAACGATGATATTAATAGGTTTTGAATTTAAGTTCACGTAAAAATTTTATCTTACGTCAACCGGAAAACTACGTAGGTCACAAATGCCTATGACCCTACCTGGCACCAGGAATATAGGTAGGCCCAAAAAACGTTGGCTTGATGTCGTGTAGGATGACATGCGTGCCAATGGACTCAGTAAGAAGAATGCTGAAGACCAGGCAAAGTAGAGGAGACTGAATAGGAAAGCGGATAGAGCAACCGGGATAGACGCTAAGATGATGATGAATAATATTCTCATCGCTTCAATGTCCAACACAAATCTAAGTAAATTACTCTAGTAAGTTATCTAGTGCTAAGTTAGCAGGATAACTAGCCATTATATATATATATAAGGCAGACATAATAATGTTATAAGAAGTTAAATTGATTTATCATATTTATATCCAAGCATAGGTATTCGACCCACCTATAAAATAAATATGAATTATTTGTAAGCTTTAAAATTCGTACTTAAAAAAGGCTGCTGAATGAAATATCTACTAGTGTCATTTGAGTAAAGCAAGCATTATTATCATTTAGGTACGGAATTTGTATATAAAACCTACCAGTATTAGCACAGACGTTCATACTAAAGTTCTACTCTATATTTTATTAAGTGCCTACTTTAGGTATAATATGTAGAATAAGGAATATTTAAATAGAACTAAGTATATATCTAACTTTCCACATTCCATTTTCGTATGGATCAAATTTTTTATTTTTAAAGATAAGTGTTTATAATGTAAAAGTAGGTTCATGAGTTCCTGTCAGTCGACGAAACCCTGTCGCTGACAGGTCCTGTTTACACCGACATAGCGGCCGATGGCGTTCGCAGTGGTTTTAGTGAGTAGGGCCTTCCCAGGCCGAGCCTCACATATCCCTTCCGGCCCCACCAAGGCCGGTTGGACGGCTCGTAAAAAGTTTCCCTGCGACATCAAAAAATAGTTCATAGTTCACACTTATAACTCTGCCTATATACAAAAACCTTTTACTATGATATTGTGAATTCATTGAATGCATACAGTCTGTTGATGTTTATTTTATATATCCGAAATCAACACCAAAAATTATAATAATTTGAGTAATTAAATCCAAAATTTCATTTAAATTGTTAAACATTAATCATAAATGTCTGATACCAAGTTTTTTCAACCTCTCAAATCTTGGCACTGGGAGAAAGAATAATTGTTTTTTTAATTTATTATGCATAGTGCCCGAGTCTTTCCTCCCATGGGAAAGTGGAAATGAAGTTGTCACCTACAGCTAGTGAAGGCTCTAAATCAGTACTAGATTGTGGTTAGTATAGAATATGTAATGTTATAACAATGATTAACAATCTCAACCAATTTTGTTAATTATCATAATCCAGTATAAATCTGGTAACAGATAAGAATAGGAACACACCTCATAAAACATTCGCCAGAGTATAGATTTGTGTTTGGTACTAGAAAGCTACAGCCGAACAACTAAATGTTTCTCGCTTCTATTAATCTTGAATAAAATTATGCTTAAAATGACAAAATAGGTTTTGTATTATCAAGGTTTAGGTTTAGGTTAATTATTGGAACAAAATGACACAATTTAATTCATTCAGAAAAAGTTTTCAATACATAATTCTATTTGTTCAAAGTGTATGTTTAGTCATGACTATATAAGATTAAGATAGGTACTTCACATTTACAAGAAATCTCTGCAATGACATATAGCATAGATAATGGATTTTATTCTTATAATATGATACTGATATTTGAACTATATAGAAAATTATTAATAATTTAAAAACCGTAAGTTTTGTAAGAGATTTAATTCGTATTTCTTAAAAAAAACGTCTACTCTATCCTTCATTTGAAATTAGTGAATAAATTCCAAATATAATACTTCTCAATCGGTGGCAGTCTTTAATTACTTGTTTATCAATTATGATCATAATATCTATTTTTGTTTTTACTTCATTAATTGATATTTCATATTCTTCAGATAAACATTTTTGATAATTAACACTTCAAATTCGAGAGTGAAACGTCAATAAATTTGACAAACAGAACAGGGTTTCTTTAAATGAAAAATAGTAATGTGTATATTTATTAAATAAAGTAACTTTATCAATAATAAAAGTATATATAATTAAAAATTAAAATAAACTAAATAATATATAAAATATAAAATTACATGAAAAACATATTTTTAATCTACTTTTATATTATCTGTGAATAGTAGGGATGTTCACAAAACTTGTGTAGTTAATCGAATAATCCCCAATTTCATCGATATCACTGCAACCATTCTTGTATTACTTACCTACTCATTACTTAGATATTTTATTTAAATCCTTAGGAGTTAACAGACTGTGGGAAAGGACTATAAATTTTAATTAAATATTAATATCAATACTAATTTCAAAACGTTAATAGATTTGCATAAGTATGAATATAAGAGTTATCCTCTGAAATTGCAATCTGAAAAGTTAATGTTTGACAGTTTTTCTTCTTTCAAATATTCTATAAATGTAAATCTTTTCTGATATTATCAGTATTTAAATTTTATATATAGTTTTTACAGTTATCCATTGTACTTTGTAGCATTAATCGAGAATAGGTACTCGATAACGTTTATCGATTTTCCTTCATTTAACTGTGCCTCACTTCGTTTATTAAATTACTTTTCGCGCCCGGCGTTGGTGCATAGCAGCTTTTTTGTGGAGAGCAATCATCTGTCGAAAAGCCATTGTATGTGTTTTATGCGTAACTGAATATCGGTATCATTTATAGTGGATTGAATAAGATTCAATACAATGTCTCAAGCTGAAGAACCTATGGAAGCGGCAGATGCTGGCGATAATTCTGTAAGAATAAATTTGCTAAACGGGAGACTATTTTTTTGCAACTTACTCGTAGACACTATAGATTTGTTCGTGATGATTACAGAATGGCTCTTCAAGTGATACACCGTCATCTAGAGGCAAAGAAGGTGATTTTGAAAGCAAAATTGAAACTGATCGAGCCAAGAGATTTGATTTTTTGTTAAAGCAAACGGAGATTTTCTCACATTTCATGACAAATACTCCCAAATCGGGAAGTAGTCCTCCTAAACCCAAAGCTGGAAGACCAAGAAAGATTAAAGAACCTGAGCCTGAAGCTGGAGAGTAAGTATTTTTGGAAATACATTTGCTGTGCATCTGTTATTAGTTAAAAAATGCAGTTATAAACATCCTTTTCTCACATATCTAACTAGTTTATCGCTTGGGTTGAATTTCTAAGCATTACAAGCCAAACTTGTAATTTAAACAAAATCTTAGTGCATTTGAAAATGTTATAAACACCAAAGTAAATACAAAAACATGTTAATATCATGCATACAATAAAAAATTAATAAATTTTTCCAGCCACCGACATCGTAAAACAGAACAAGAGGAAGATGAAGAGCTTCTTGCTGAAACAAATACAAAACAGAAAACTATTTTCCGATTTGAATCATCACCTCCATATATAAAGAACGGTGAAATGAGAGATTACCAAGTTAGAGGTTTGAATTGGATGATATCTCTCTATGAAAATGGTATCAATGGTATCCTAGCCGATGAGATGGGTTTAGGAAAGACATTACAGACCATATCACTCTTAGGATATATGAAAAATTTCAAGTAAGAAATTATTTACAGATTCATTATAATTTTTTATGTTGGACGTGCTGAGTGACTTAGTGGACTGATCAGTTAACTTCGATATTTTACTTACTACACACTTGATAGAATTTAATAGAATAATTATATATAAACTTATAGTATAGTACAATTAGTATACATCTGAATGAAAGAGACGAAACCTCTTAGCATTCAATGGATTCACCGTGCGGGTGCCGGGTCCATCGCGTTACAGGGAGAGGAGCTTCAACAGTGCCTGGGACTTGCGACCCAGGTGTAGGTTTAAGGGGCCCCTTAACTAACGCGCGTTATACGCTCACCTCCACTGTCCAAGTTCCTCTCCCTACCTAACCAAATTTGAAAAGAACCTACTAGGGCTGCCTTCGACATATGTTCCAAGAATGAATTAATGTTAGTTCTGGACAAGCCCAAGTCTTTTAGTAGGTTATAGAGAGATTTAGCTGTTATACCTCTCGCTCCCACCTCTACCGCGTACAAATCAACGACTAACCTATTTCGAGTTAGTTCGTTAGTGAGCTCGTAATACTTATTGACCTTGATGGCATGGTCTTTGGGGATGTTGGTTTCCCAAGGCACCGTAAGCTCTATCATCACAACGCGCTTTAAAATACGCGAATATAGAAATATGTCTGGTCTGGAGGCCGACGCACAAATATCCTCGGGGATTTTGTATTGTTTCTCATACGTATCCATCATGATAGTCCAATCCGAAGCCGCTTTAAGGATAGAGTAAGGCTTGACGTTTGATTTTATAGCCCTGGTGCCCTCTCTCACAAAACCTATTGATCACTCGTTTGTGGTTATTTCCCTTTGCGCTCTGGCTACCGAAAGACTAACTTCACGTATGATCTCTAAAACCCTATCGTGACGACGCGAGTATTGACCGCTGTCCAGGAGAACCTTACATCCCACCAGCAAATGCTTAGCAGTTCCAACTGCCTTTCCGCAGATATAGCAAGTTTTTTCGGTACCTTTACCCCATCTTACTAAATTACTCTGATCTGGGAGAGTCATGTATCATGTGTGAGAGTCATCTATATATCATGTGTTTAAACAGATGACGGAAATTTGTTGAAATATTTTTACGTCTCATTTCTGCATTTAACAAACTTTTTTTTGGACATTCCCTTTTAACCATGATTACTTTAGTCTATAATATCTATTGATATTTAACCAATATGATACTGTAGTATATAAAAATTATACAAATTATTGTTTATAAAAATTATTATTTCACTACAATCAAAATATTTTTTTGTCTGTCTCTTTTATCTGGACAGCCTTAAGTCACTTGGCAAAAAAGAGATCTCTGTTTGTGATTTTTTATGTAAAATATTTTTATCTTGTAGTGCAGTAGGTATTTTCTGTAAAGAATATTAAAAAAGAGTTTTCCTATTTAGGTTCTTATCTATATTAAGTTATGAATATTATGTTATATATTTTTTTTATATTCATATGATAACATAGAAAACTTATGATTTCAGAAATGTTCCTGGGCCTCACATAGTTATTGTGCCGAAATCTACCTTGACAAATTGGATGAACGAATTCAAGAAGTGGTGTCCATCGCTCCGAGCTGTGTGTCTCATTGGAGATCAAGAGACCAGGGTAAGGTGAACTTGAGTAATGAATCTCAAGGTTTTATTTGAAAGGTTTTATTGATCTATAGATATGTTTACAACAATAAAGCATATAACAAGCTAAAACATTTACTAAAATTTATACAGGGTGACTGTTGAATTACTATCAATATTTAAGGAGAATACTCGGTACATGATTCTCATTCGAATTATGTAAAAAAAATAGGTACTTAATTTTTGACCAAATTTCCGTATAAATAAATAAAGTGTGGACACGTTCCAAGTGTTCCAAGTGTGGACGCGTGCGGCGGCGTGCTGATACAACACCACGCCGCCGCACGCGTGAGTGTGTGTGTGTGTGTGTATACCTAATCTGTAGGGTGTTCACACGATGCGTAATTAATTACATAACTTTTGGTTAACTTTACTTAGAAGTTTATTAATATTTATGTTATATTAATTTTTATTTTGTCATATATGATAATCAAATATAAGTATCGATAGTAATTCACCAGTCACCCTGTATAAAGATTATATTATAATACATCCATTGGCATGAGCTGGATGTGAAATTGCAATTTCTGGAGTATTGCTATGAATTTTTAATTCTATATTTATGTATTGCATTTTGTTAAGAATCTTCTCAAAATAATATTAAAGTGTCTGATAACAATACTTTGTCATGTATATTTAGCTTTTGTTAAATATATTTCAGTATTCTTATTGATGGGTAGGTTATATACTAAACAACCTGAGAAGAAAGCTTGTGGTTATGTATTAATAATTGTTACACTTTTACACTAAGAGTACTGTGTGTATTTTGATGTGACTCTACATTAAGATAGCTAAAATTTCTGATGTCACATAAAGTCTATAATTAATCCTCAAATTCTGCATATCACCTCCAGGAATAGGGTTTAAAAGTTGTAATTTGTCTATCCAATGATAATAGCAGAATATGTTGGTTTCATTTTAGTTTAAATGTATTTTTTTTATGTAAGCTACTGATTTATTTCTCTCATATCAATTCTAAAAGCCACACGGATAACGTCGGGAGTAAATAATAGTATATCGAAAAAGTACATATTATCATGAAATTTATTAATATGTATTTTTTAATGAGTAATTTCTTAAATTTCAGAATATATTTATAAGGGAGACGCTGATGCCTGGAAATTGGGATGTTTGCATCACGTCATACGAAATGATCATACGCGAGAAATCCGTCTTCAAGAAATTTAACTGGAGGTACATGGTCATAGATGAAGCTCATCGTATCAAGAACGAAAAATCTAAACTGTCAGAACTACTCCGTGAGTTCAAGAGCATGAATAGACTTCTCTTAACTGGAACACCGTTACAGAATAATCTTCACGAGCTCTGGGCTTTACTCAACTTTTTGTTACCTGATGTGTTTAATAGTTCTGATGTAAGTATTAACAATCTCACGAACATTTTTTACACGAAACAAAGGAATATGTAGTATGTAAATTATAGTTTTTTATTTAAATGTATATAACCTTTTATAGGATTTTGATGCATGGTTCAATACAAATGCCGCACTGGGTGACAATCAACTTGTGTCTCGTTTGCATGCCGTGCTGAGACCGTTTTTATTGAGACGTCTCAAAGCAGAAGTGGAAAAGAAGCTGAAACCTAAGAAGGAACTTAAAGTGTACATAGGTTTGAGTAAAATGCAAAGGGAATGGTACACTAAAGTATTGATGAAGGATATAGATGTTGGTTAGTCAAAAAATATATACCTACTATTGTTTTTGTTGTAGATATGTTACTGTTATAAACAGACTATGTTGTTACTCCATTTTAAGAGTGAATATTTATTTGATGAACAAACTATTTAATAAACATTTAATAAAATATGTTTTTATATGTTTAAGTTAGGTAACCATAAAATTTTGTATTTCTATTATAATAAAAAGATCTAAGTAAAAAACACATAATCATTTCTATTTACAGTAAATGGAGCTGGTAAAGTAGAGAAAATGAGATTACAAAACATTCTTATGCAACTGCGTAAGTGTTGCAACCACCCTTACTTGTTCGACGGCGCGGAGCCCGGCCCTCCCTACACCACAGATGAACATCTAGTGTACAACTGTGGAAAACTAGCTATATTGGATAAGCTATTGCCAAAATTACAAGAACAAGAATCGAGAGTTCTCATATTCTCACAAATGACAAGAATGTTGGATATTTTGGAGGATTATTGTCTTTGGAGGCAATACAAAGTGAGCTTTTTAAACGTCTTAATAAGAATTCTTAATAATATATATGGTTGAGTCTGGTCATAGTTATAATACTTTTTTTAATCTTATTTTTTCTAAAAGCACAGATGGATGGATGTTAATTTTCTATCACACTTGTAAATAGTTTCATATCCCATATATATATATATATATATATATATATATATATATATATATATATATATATATATATATATATATATATATATAATTTATACAGGGTGACTGGTGAATTACTATCGATATTTGAGGACGTGATATTTGACGATCATATATGACAAAATAAAAATTAATATAACATAAATATTAATAAACTTCTGAGTAAAGTTAACCAAAAGTTATGTAATTAATTACGCATCGTATGAACACCCTACAGATTAGGTATACACACACACACACACACTCGCGCGCGGAGGCGTGTTGTTGTATCAGCACGCCGCCGCACGCGTTCACACTTGGAACGTGTCCACACTTTATTTATTTATACGGAAATTTGGTCAAAAATTAAGTGCCTATTTTTTTTACATAATTCGAATGAGAATCATGTACCGAGTATTCTCCTTAAATATTGATAGTAATTCACCAGTCACCCTGTATAGATGATATTGTAGTAAATATAAAATAACTACATATTTTCTTTTCAACAGTACTGTCGTCTAGACGGACAAACACCTCATGAAGATAGGAACAGGCAGATTGAGGAATACAATGCTGAAGGCAGCGAGAAATTTATATTCATGTTGTCAACTCGAGCTGGAGGTCTGGGTATTAATCTGACAACAGCTGATGTGGTCATTATATATGACTCAGATTGGAACCCACAGATGGACTTGCAAGCTATGGACAGAGCTCACCGTATAGGGCAATTGAAACAAGTATTTGTTTTGTCTAATATTACCTGGTGTAAATTAATATACTTGAAAATTTTGTATATAGTTAATTGTAGAATGAAATTGCTGTTTATAAGAAAAAAGTACTAGCATAAGTATGTATATAAATTCTAGGCGATTTTTTATATCTTTTCATACAGTTTCGGATTGTGTACTGTAAACGTGATCACGAAAAATGAGACGAAAATCTCTCGAGTAGTATATTATTTCATTAAAAATGTTTACTCTCGAAAATGATGTCCGTTAATAGTAACATGTAATTTGGAGTAATTATATTTATTTTCTTAAATAAAACTATAGTATATGGCAATAATTGTCATGTGATACGAAACTGAAACTATGAATTTATTAAAGAAAGATATATGGACTTGATAATTTGTATGTTCATATAGGTACGTGTGTTCCGTCTTATAACTGAGAACACGGTCGAGGAGAAAATAGTTGAAAGGGCAGAGGTCAAACTGCGTCTAGACAAGCTGGTTATACAGTCAGGGCGTCTTGTTGATATTAAGAACCAACTTAATAAAGACGAAATGTTGAACATGATCAGACATGGCGCCAACCACGTGTTTTCTTCCAAGGACTCTGAGATCACCGACGAAGACATTGATAGTATTCTCGCAAAGGGAGAATCGAAGGTGAATAATTAATATACAGGGTGACTGGTGAATTACTATCGATACTTGAGGACGTGATATTTGACGATCATATATGACAAAATAAAAATTAATATAACATAAATATTAATAAACTTCCAAGTAAAGTTAACCAAAAGTTATGTAATTAATTACGCATCGTATGAACACCCTACAGATTAGGTATACACACACACTCACACAGACGCGGCGGCGGCGTAGTGTTGTATCAGCACGCCGCCGCACGCGTCCACACTTAGAACACTTGGAACGTGTACACACTTTATTTATTTATATCGAAATTTGGTCAAAAATTAAGTACCTATTTTTTTTACATAATTCGAATGAGAATCTTGTACCGAGTATGCTCCTTTAATATTGATAGTAATTCACCAGTCACCCTGTATATACAACTTGCATAGGAAGAATACCTACAAGAATCATATATCACGATAGTCAGACAAAAACTCATGAGCTATTATTGTATACTTTGTCTGGGGTGATTAGATTCCAAAACTCTTTTTAACGACTATATACTACATAACTAGTTATTATATCACGAATGTATTACCTGAAAATTTTATTATAATGCGTTTGTTATAAATTTCAGACTGAGGAATTGAAACAGAAGTTGGAGAGTCTTGAAGAATCCTCGTTACGATCGTTTTCCATGGATACTCCTGGAGCAACTGATTCTGTATATCAATTTGAAGGTCAGACATATACTAAAGATATATAGATATTGTAGGGACATTACATATTGTTTTTATTGATATAATTATAATATTAATAATATATGATACAGGTGAGGATTACAGAGAAAAACAGAAGATAGTCCCGATCGGTAATTGGATAGAACCACCTAAAAGAGAACGTAAAGCTAACTACGCTGTTGACGCGTACTTCAGAGAGGCACTTCGCGTCTCTGAACCGAAGGCGCCAAAGGTACAGGTAAATAAAGTGTAAAGAGCTAAATACGGAGCCCGTTCTGGTGTTGGTTCTTAAATATATGCATCCTATATTATATTACATTAGCTCTTTATGCTCGAATCTCTGTGTAAGTTGTTTGCTAACATTGTATGTATGTGTAAACTAGGCTTTATAGTAGCGCTTTTCATCAGTGTTGAAAAAGTACCGTATCGTATCTCGGAGTAGTGTTGTATGGGGATTTTTATTTCGTAGTTTGCTTAAAGTTGACGCTGCAAGTAATATTAAGTTGTGATTTATTATATTCATAGTTTTTTCTCTCTAGGCCCCGAGACCTCCGAAGCAGCCGATAGTTCAAGACTTTCAGTTTTTCCCTCCTCGACTTTTTGAGCTGCTAGATCAAGAAATATATCACTACAGAAAAACTCTTGGGTATGATTATGAAAGATAAAATTATTACTTATATTTTTAAATGTCGTATGCAATAATATTTTTCAATATCTCTAATATACTTTTTAAAATATTTAATATTTTAACTGAAACTAATATATTCTAATTACTACGCGTTATTTTATTATATTTAAAACTACTTATTTCCGTTAGTTTGCAGCAACTCTGATCACCTGCAGACGAGATGAGTAATTAAACAAATATACGCGAAAACCTTAGATCTCATTTAATATTTTTTTAGTTACAAAGTACCTCGAAACCCAGAATTGGGACCTGATGCAGCAAAGATACAAAGAGAAGAACAACGAAAAATCGATGACGCTGAATCTCTCACAGAAGAAGAAGTGCAAGAAAAGGAACAACTTTTAACACAAGGTAATGTCAAAAATATAAAGCAGAAAATCTTATTAAACTCGTCATACAGATGACGATGTTGTTTTAGCAATTTAATTGCAATAACAAGGTAAATCTTAAACATTTCAATAAATTATAACTTATTTTACATAAAACGAACTCATTTACACTAAAGAAAATGAATACTAATTAAGACTCGAAGTTAAGGCGATTACTATTTTTATAATCGGTAATAGTTAGTAATTAATCGTAAATTTGCAGGTTTTACAAACTGGACAAAACGGGACTTCAATCAATTTATAAAGGCTAATGAAAAGTATGGAAGAGATGATATAGAAAATATCGCTAAGGATGTTGAAGGGAAGACACCAGAGGAGGTAGATTAATGTTCTTAACATTACACTCATTGTTTTCACTCTTTTAAGACATTAATTTAACACCTATTTCATGTAGGTCATGGAATACTCAGCAGTTTTTTGGGAAAGATGTCACGAACTTCAAGATATTGATAGAATTATGGGTCAAATTGAAAGAGGTGAGGCTAAGATACAGAGGAGGGCGTCGATCAAAAAAGCTTTAGATGCTAAAATGGCGCGATACAGGGCGCCCTTCCACCAACTAAGAATATCATACGGCACGAATAAGGGGAAAAATTATGTAGAGGAAGAGGACAGGTAATCTTATATCAAAAATTTTTTTATATATATCCAATTACAGATATTGATTTAATAAAAGGCGTTAACTGAATAGAGGTACATATATGTATTTAAAAATGTGGTTTTGATCAATCAAAATCTCCTTTTTTGTATAATTTTCGAAAAATTTTATTTCTCTTTTTTGTCTTTAAAATTATTGGAACAACAATTAATGTGTTCAATTACTTCTGCCAATATACTAAAGCGTCATTTCATAAATGAAAGAGACAGCTCAATAATCATTAATTGTCTTTATAATATTCTTGTTTATAATCTTCGCCGTTGTTAAGATTTCCTTTACATTTATTTTAAATTAATTGCAATATTAGGTTCCTCGTTTGCATGCTGCATAAATTGGGTTTCGATAAGGAAAATGTCTATGAAGAACTAAGAGCTGCTGTACACGCAGCTCCTCAATTCCGTTTCGATTGGTTCCTAAAGTCACGTACAGCCGTTGAACTACAACGAAGGTATGTTTCAATGTGTATTTGTATTGATGGACTTGTCTATGTTTCAATACGTCACAAAATTATAAAATATTTCAGATGCAATACTCTTATAACACTGATCGAGAGGGAAAATCAAGAATTGGAAGAAAAAGAACGCGCTGAAAAGAAAAAGAAGAGTGGTAATTCTAATCAAAATACTCCTGGAGGTAATGCTACCGGTAAAGGTGCCAATTCAGGCAAACGTAAGGCTGAGAACACACCGGACACAGCTCAGAAAAATAAGAAAAAGAAGAAATGAGGTCCGGCTCCATTCAGCCAGACTAGAGTTACGAGGTCGGCTGCTGGAAAAAAATAGACAAGCGTAACAATCAACAATACTGATATTGGAGGCTTTAGCCTTCTAGAAATGTTTACCTTGAGTATTACTCATTAATTTAATCAGATAGCATTCCCTTTTTACAACATTTAATTATGAAAATGTGCTTTGTGTCAAGACGTAATTAAAACACAATATCATAATAGTAATTTTATTTATCACACCCCTTTGAACATTGAAGAAATATTTGTTACTAACTAAAAGCTACAGCATAAAGAAAGGAAACTATTAATTCTTTCTTAATATAATTAACCTTAAATGTCAAAAAAGAACTTAATTCCTGCACTTCTCAGGTACATAATATAATCACAGATTTCCACACTTATTATAATAAATGTTAAAATTGAACACTCATGGTGTTGCACCATGTAGGATCTTAAATTAAGGTGAGCTTCCATTTTCAACACATTCTTGAACAATATTATTAATGGGGGAAGATGGAGCTCCTAAACCATAAAGGTGTCCACTGGTACTTTCAATCTTGCCATCAAAGAAAATCTGAAATAAAAACAAACGTGCTCATTATTTCCGCTAATAATTTGCTATATAGTTGATCCCCTATATTGGTTGTATATTTACGAATTCATTTACCAAGCATATCTTATGGAAATTTTACGAAAGTAAAATATTAGTATAAATCTATATAAATATAAATCTATTTCAATACAATATTATTTTGCTAACACTGGCTTTACTTCGCATTTTTATTATAGTTCTATATATGACAGTTTAATCACTCTCTTAATAAGTATTTGAGACAGAAAAGTTTCAGTTAATTTGTATAATGTAAAAGGAGTGTTTCTAAGTATGTTAGTAGTTAAAATATTATTTTGCAATAAAGATATTTGTGAAAAGGTATTGGTGTTCAATAAATAGGCAGACAGAAGAAAATAAAATTATGTAAGAGTAACAAAAAGAAATGCGATTTTATTTAATGCACAGACCACCTGTGACACAGAATTAGGTCTTTTGACTAAGTAAAATGTTCTTAAATAAATACCTCTTTTATTTTGAAAAATGCCATCCCAGTTAGGTGAGAATCGGAACCAGCCTGATGTTGCGGTCCCACCCTCCTCAACTCCAATTGATCAGCTACCTCTTGCAATCCACCTTTTAGGTTTTTACATAATTTCATAAGGTACTGTTGATTTATTTTAAATTAATTACAAATGAAACAAATCTTCCACATTCATTTTGTGATCTGAATGATTTTTACTCACTTTAACATCATAAACTGTAGGAAAATATAGTTTTAGACTTTCAAAGAATTCACTTTCCTCTTGGGGTAAGTTTTGATCAGTGAGCAATTTCAACAAATAGCCAAAGTCATACCCAGAATGAAAACTTAACCAATTTATGTTATCCATTAAAACTATTCCTGTAATAATATATTCATTTTAAAAACGACAAGTATTGAAAAAATTAATTTTACTTTTTATTCATTATTATATTACCTGAGGTAATTAATAGTTCTGCAAATTCAATGGGTTCTATCCCATGTTCCTCATGCTCTCTAAATTGTAATCCAGAATTTTGAAGCAAATCTATGGAATCTTGAGCATACATATCTTCCCTGTTTTTAAGAGATCTTACAAGGATATATAGATTTATTGCGAAAGTATGAAGTGTGTAAAGTATTAAAAAATATGCTTAATACTTACTGTAAATTAAATTTAAAATTAAATTGCCATGTAGTGCAACCTGGAGGTGTTTTACCATTTTCATCCATAAAAGTAAGTCCTAATTGTATTATTCGCAGGAGATCCACATTACATCTAAGATTATTCAGAGCATTAAAAAATAGTTATGAGTCCACAAGACACGAATAAACATTTATAAAAAAATAAATGATACCTTAGAAGTTGATATTGGTAGTCAGCAGTAGAACGAAATTCACCTATCGGTCTAGCAACAACTCCTGGGAACTCTGTGTCCATTGCAACCCATTGATACTTCTGTACAATCTGGATTAACACAACAATTTCGGTCTTTTTAAAATTCTGGACCCTTTGTGGTTTCAAAAGGATAAAAGTATACATATATTTGATATTGTCCATAATCATTACCTGTCGTATAAGATGAAACTCCTCATGTAAATTATGCTTCCAAACATTTTTAATAAAGTGATTTTCTTCTCTATAGGTTTTCGACTTCAATAAATCAAAGTTAACAGCCGGCATTTGCAAAGTCATTTTATTATAACGACTTATTGAAATGGGAAGATACAAGTGAACAGAAATAATTTTGTAAAGAACTGTTTAGCGTGGGTACTAGTAATTCATTTAAAAACTTAAAAGAATAGCTTTATTTTTTACTGCAATATCTCTTATAAAATATCCATTCCTACCTATCAATTTTGTTGACAAAGGTGACATAAATGGTCTTTGCTCTTTTATCATGTAATCTGATATTTTTGTATGATGATTCTTACAAAAGAATTTTTGTTTTTTTAACAGAAAAATTAAGATTTAAATAATATGTTAAAAACGTATTCAACAAAAATCGTAAAACTAGTCAGTTGAATCCAAAGTTTTATTACAATTCATAAGTAACACTCACAGGTTTACCTTTATTGAAATGGGATTTCTACAGCGAAGCAATGCGTGTAAATGTCAATATTTAATTTAATAAATACAATTTATATATTTTCTTAATTCCGAAAATATTTTGTCACTGCAACTATCGTTATGAATTTATTATCATATTCAGATTACAAAATGAGATTCTAACGATTAGGGTTGGGAAAAATATAATTTAAAAAAATAAAGGCTTTATATTCTAATATTCAAACTGTCAAATTCTTATTTTCGATACCCTATACTCCATAGTAGGTACTCTACCTAGTACCTACTACCTCCCTAAAAACTAGTCTAGGCATTGCGATTAGATATAAGAAATTCACTGGGTGCTTAGTAGCACATATTAGCAGTAAAAATCAAGTCAAAATATACAAAAAGAAGTAAGCTAAGCCATGATAGTACTTTTACTAAAAGAGATGTCCTACATATTTACATTTATTATCAAATTCTTCGAACGATAGGCTACATGTGATAAAATCTAACCTTTATTAATCTGTTGTAACTCGTACACGGTTTGTCTGTTAATCTTATTTTAAATAGGTACATACGTGTTAATAAATTTTAAAGTTTCATGACTAGATGGATTTTAATGAAATCTGGTTAGAAAGCAGACGACGAATAGAAATTAGGCTGATTTGATTCGATAAGCAAGATTAACATGGACAGAGATGAATGCAAAGTCTAGTATCACTGAAACCTTAACTTTCGCCTTACCATTCTCATTAAATAAACCCATATAAGAGTTGGTGTCTACTGGCTACAAACAGGATCTAACCTCAAGAAGGCCAAAACTATTACAATTTACTACTTTCCAATTTTTTAGTAATAAAATATTAGTTAAACACTTGTGCTTAGTTTGAAGTGTGCGATTGTTTTTTTATTGGTGACACGTAGTATTTTCATTATTAAAATAATGTTAAAAGGTGAGAGATAAATAATTTAAAGGCTCAACATATAAAAGACTTATTATTATTTATACTTTTAAGCATTTATCTCACTTAAAACGTGTGACTAATATAAACACCTTAAAAAAAATATTTTTATTATAATTACATTGCTTTGAATATTAGAAAATTAAAAAAAAATGAATCTATTATATCACAAATACAGTAAGGTGTAAATAAATTGATAACCTTAATAATATAAATTACACATTTTGATGATGCATGCAATTATTACATAAAAAAAAAACTTACTAAAATATTTACTGCAGATCGGGAGTGACCTATAAACTAGTCTATGTATAATTCTACTGTTTCATCTTTCTAATCTACATATTTTTGTCACAATTGAAGATGTTAAATAATAAAAATAATAAATCCATTTATTTATTCAGGTGCTTGGGTGGTCGATTTTTAAATGTTCTTATGATATTGTCACTAGCTTATTCTGTGAGGTGGAACACTCTCGGCTGTGGTGTGAGTTCTGACACACACACAGATTCTCCCGATCAAGATGAATTCCCATTTTCACCATTGTCTTGAAAGTTATTAGCATTCACTGAGAATGGTGCTCCTAAACCATAGAGGTGACCACTTGAACTTTCAATGTTATCATCAAAGAATATCTGTAAGAGGATTATTACATGTAATTTATATAACAATAAACTTAAAAATTTAATTAGATGTTTGTACAAAACATGTGCTGCTTTTCAGGAAAGTACTACATATTATGTCAAGGTCGGTTGCTTAATGCCTCCTTGTACTTCTGAGATTGCTATTCTACAATTCACCCATTATTTAGTCTTTATATTTATCAATTATTTTTTGATACTATGTAAACATTGCCCAAACTAATTTAGTACATTAAATTAAAACATATGTTAGGAATATTCTAGTCATCAACCTCTTTGATTTTAAAGAAAGCCATGCCAGTCAGATGTGAGTCTGAACCAGCCTGATGTTGGGGTCCCACTCGTCTCAGTTCCAACTGATCTGCTACTTCTTGAAGTCCCCCTTTTAGATTTTTGCATAACTTCATCAGGTACTGTAAATATATATCAATATTATAGTAATGGCTTTATGTATGTCAAAATTATCCCTATACCATGTACATATTAACTTATAACAAACAGCATGTAAAGCATTATAAAATTTATTTGTAAATACAGTATTTTAATTATCATGTAACATGTGAGAATAAATAGATGTTAAGTAATAAATAATATCAACACTCTTTTTTCATTTTATCAGTTTCACAATAAGCTGCTAAAAAATTAATAGACTGACTCACCTTGACATCATACACCGTTGGGAAATAGAGCCGTAGATTTTCAAAGAACACATTTTCGTCTTGAGGTAAATTTTGATCCGTTAACAACTTAAGAAGATATCCAAAGTCATATCCTGAGTGAAAACTTAACCACTTTATGTTGTCAATTAATACAAGACCTAGAAATTAGAATTATTATTATATAACTGTAAATAATATTTTCCACATCAAAATAACTTTGTTTGTACTATATACATTATATTATTTCAAATATAATTATGTATTTAGTAGTATTCATTCACCTGATGACATAAGAAGTTCGGCAAATTCTAAAGGTTCAATACCATCTTCTTCATGTTTACGAAATTGTAATCCAGAATTTTGCAATAAGTCAATAGAGTCTTGTGCATACATATCTTCTCTAAAAGAGGATACACAAAAGTTTAAAGCAGAACAATTTGCAATGAAATATAATTACTATTGATTTATTTATTTAAATGCAATTTCCTATGTTGCGTCCTCATCAAACTTTTGTTTCGAAACCTACATTTAAATTCTAAGAAATGAATGAATTATATTAGTTTGCATTAAATTATTTAATGCTATGGAAGGCTTATCTGTGGCTTTAAATAGCAAATAAAAAACTGTCCTATTAAACTTACTGTAGATTAAATTTGAAATTGAATTGCCATGTTGTGTAACCTGGGGGTGTTTTTCCATTTTCATCCATGAATGTGAGACCCAATTGAATTATCCTCAGTAAATCAACATTGCACCTGTAAAACAATAAAAACAAATTAAGTATTGCTATTTTTTTTTGATATCAGACAAAATACTAGAGATTAGGAAATACCTAACAAAACAGAGGCCAATGATAATTGATTGCATAATCATTTAATGAATAATAAATATGGATTTTACTAAATAGTTTCATAAGTAGATAAAAAAAGAATTACAAAAAATACCTGAGAAGTTGATATTGGTAGTCGGCAGTAGATCGAAATTCCCCAATAGGTCTGGCTACTACTCCAGGAAACTCAGTGTCCATTGCAACCCAATGATACTTTTGAACAACCTTTAAAATGATATATAAGCTGTTATCCAGATGGGTACAAGCAGATTTAAACAATATTTTTTTATATAAATTGCTAACAACATACTTGTCTAATTATTGCAAACTCTTCATGAAGGTTGTGATTCCAGACATCTTTAATTCCACAGTCACCAGTTCCAGGTAATGAGAGAGAACCAAAGCTTGCTGCAGGCATCTATTATTAAATGATATAAGTTAGTTGACTTTTGATCAAAAACTTTGGTCACATGATTTATGAAGAAATATTAATAATTACCTTGAAGCGACTGTCTGTTACTGAACGTTTCGACTCTTCTGGTTTTAGAGACGCCGTGGCTTGTATTTTGTTGCAATTTGATTGTATAAAGTTTTTGTCACTATTAAGTGTTGAGTTTGTAACAATACCCTAATACTATTAAATTAAAATACTAGTCCCGAATGCAACCTGTTTTAATAGCAATAAACAATATAACATCTTTATTTTATGCACCGTCGCGCGTCGTCAGAATTATGTATAAGAATGATTGTCAACTAAACAATACTTCACCTTGAGCACAACAAGGATAAAAGTAGCGTGTTGGTGATATAAATTAACAGAGATTTATTTTGTGATTATTTGTAAATGTAAATGTAGAACTAAATTTGCAATACGTAAGCCAAAAATTAAAAAAATACATCACAACAACGAATTGTTACTCAACTCAACACATGCCATGGTGACAGATCATCTGTCACAGATGACAAACGGAAATGACAGCTTACGTAGGCTGTATTAAATTGTATGTACATTTCAGTTTAACTATTCTTATCTAGAATAAATATAATGAATTTAATAACTATCATTCTATCTGTACAATGGCGAATTGTTTAATGTCAGAATTTTATATATTCGAAGTATATCAGTAAGCTTTGAACGCCTATGACTTTATGACAAAAAAGCGGCAATTTTGAATAGATGAATCGAAGTGGACAACTCAGCGTGCTGTGAAGTCGTCAATATTTGTTTTGACAAGTAATAAACATATTAATCTGAAAAAATATACTCTTGTAATCTATTCAAAAGATGATATTAACTTAATTCATGAAATAATACAATTAAAATTAACAAAAGTAGTCTTTTGCTTTTTCATATACATATGTAGTTTATGAAACATTCAGTATAGAAGTATTATTTTAGGATATTTAATATATAAGTCAATGATTTAATAAGATTTTCATAACTCGATTAAAATATCGAAATTTCATTTAAGTGTTGATATAGTCAAACTAAATAAAAATTAAAGCACATTACAAGAAGTAATCGGTATTATGAAGGAAATTTTAATGTTCTCCAAAATAAATATGTTTCAATTTCACACAGACGTTCACACAAATTCTCGTTATTATATAAAATAATTTTAATTTGTATGTATATCTGAAGCCATTGAAATATTTATTAGTAAGATTTAAAAATAATACAGATGACAAACAATTACTTTACCTAATGTTAAAAATGTTGAACTGTTGTATAGAATTGTAGTTGAATAGAACTGTAGTTGTATTGAAACCCTTCATTATCAACGATTCTCGCGGTTTCATGTAGGTGTGCTAGACCTACGAACAGCGGACAAACGTTACGCGTTAGTCGTACGCGGCCGGTTCTGGCGACAATACGTAAAATTTGTTCGCAGTTAAAACTTCGTATACAACCGACTCGATATAATCGTAATAATCCAATTTTTATTGTGAGCCGGCTGAAAAAATATTCGTTTTATTTCTGTTAAATTGTGAGCTGCATAAACGTAAGTATAATCAGACAAATGGCATAAAATAGGGTTTTTTAGTGTAACTTTAATGCAATTTTTGTAAGAACTTCGATAGCGTCGTTATTTTTATTGATGGTGTCAAAGTTCAACCATATTACATTATAATTAGGCAAAGTTTTTTAATAATGAATATAACACCGATATTTACGAATATTTCATATATATTTTATTTAATTTGCTGCTTTTAAATATGAAAAAAAAAATTATTTATTGTTTCATGTGAAGAATTATAATATGGTTTAAATTAAAATCATTTTCTGATATAACTCCAATATCTTAAAAATAATATTAAGACTGAGATTAAGATTGCTCCATCCTCATGGTCGTCTTAATAAAATACAGTTTAATGGCACACTGTAAAAATATTTCTTAAGTTTTATTGCATTATTCATGACTTCAATATGAGGATATTTAATGTACACGTACCTTGCTGAATGTGGCATTTTCATGGTTAATATATTTTTAAACTTGAAGTCTGTGCTGTCTTTACCACATGGTACCTACTACATAGTTATTTAATATAAAATATATTACGTCAATCTTTAATCAAAAAGCCTTTAAAATGTAATGAATAAAAAAAATATATAGGATAGGTTTAATATCGTCATTATATCAATTATATTTCTTCGTGAATCGTTAGGGAAAGTGAAAGCACTTAATGTAGTATATTTAGGAACTCATTACAACCCTACTAGGATATGGGCATTCCCGCTATTGCTAAAGTAACCAGTGAGGGATTAAGCGAACTTGGGGCCTGTATCAGATTATTTTGAAGGGTCCATGATCTTCTGGTAGTTCTTAAGTATCTGTTTGCGAGCGACTTTAAATAGAAGCAATGCGTAGTTTCGCGTTTTTGTGACAAAAAGCTAATTCAATATAGAATACATTGATGACTTTCTGTTTCATAGTAGTAATTTTCGCTCTGCAAAAATGAGTGGGTTTAAATATTCGGGGGCGTTTTTACGCCGGTTTCGTAGCAATTACTATTCTTGTTATAAGGTTATAGGTTAATCTGCCACTGAAAGTAACTACGTAACAGGTGCATGTTTTCTGACATGAAGGGTTCTTTTAGTTTAAAATAATATGAGTAATGAAATATCAGTTAAAATTTATAAAGATGTTAGTCGCTATTTATTCTGTAGGAAAAGGTTTTGCTAGATTTTACAATTCCGTACGTTTAAAGAAAAGAAGAAACCCTCATACAGGCATTTTGTCCGTCCGTCCATTCGTGTCTATCAAATACTTAGCATCAAATATATTTCGACTCTTTTAGTATTAGTATTCATTCATTTTTAGTATTCATTTTTTGTTGATGTATAACCATAAAGTTTTAATGGAAGACAAAGTTAAAATAGGTAAACTGTGTACATATTTGTAAAGATATAAAAGTCATCATAATTACGGCATTAATTATATGGGTTGGCAACTCCGTCACGCATTTGTCCGAATTTATTTCATTACAACTTTAAAACTCTGATATCATATTTTTTTTAATCAATCTACTTTTTATACTGATCTTAATGACGCCGATATATGGACATCATTATAACGAAGAATGGAATCAGGTCACTGAACCATTTAAGGTTAAGGAAAAAACTGTTGATAGCTCTACTGAGATCCTTAATTTCACTTAAAACCTTCTTACTTGCAATTGATATAAAAAAAGAAACAACTGTGTTAAATATATTTATGTGAGATTCGACTTAAATATATTATAAAATAAATCAATTTATCATATAAATTGTTAAACAGTATTTCATATAAGCGCCATCGACCATCGTGTCCTAAATTGTAGCCATGTATCTACATTGCGCCAAACTATTTTCATACAACCATTCTGTATGTACTCGATTCAAACGAGTGATGTAATCATTAAAAACTCATTTGTATTAACGCACTGTGACGTGTATTTGGCAGAACAAATCAATTGTTAATACCATTTAAAATTCTATTAATAGTACATTATCCATTTAAATATTTCAAATACTTACGGACTTCTAAGTGAAAATAGATGATCGATAGATGAAAATAGATGTGTATTAGTCGATATTCTTTTCGTATGCGAGACATGTGTTACTTTTTATTTACAACAACCTAATAGAAATTCGTCTGTTTTATTACGTACCTATTGATTAAAATATTGACAGTATTGAAAGGAATATAAAAACCCCCTGGTCGCTGTTTGAAATTATCTGTTTACAGTATGTATTAGGATGCATAAACACTTATATACTTATGTGGGAATTTTTATTTGGCTTATAAGGAATAGTCTATTCGGCAAAATACCGTATATTCGGCAAGCCCCTGACCGAATAGCCGAATATCAGGCAAAAGTATAGGACCAGATTTTAGGGTCAACTTGGTCTACGAGGAAAAATCATTAAATTATGTACATCACAAAAATACAGAAATGAATGTCCTTCTGCACAATAACTTTCCCCTTCCAAAGTTATTTCATTTACAAAACAACGTATTTTCATTGCAACAGTAATTTTTATAAGTTATTCAGGATCTTAAATAAATAGTTAAAAAAAATTACTTATATTTCTTTTAAATACATAAAGAACAACCTATGAAAGAAATAGCTTCTCAAAGTTTGTAACGTTATTTCAAACATTCAGATAGCAGCAGTATTTATATGGAATACTTTATACAGGGTGACTGGTGAATTACTATCGATATTTGAGGAAGTGATATTTGACGATCATATATGACAAAATAAAAATTAATATAACATAAATATTAATAAAATTCTAAGTAAAGTTAACCAAAAGTTATGTAATTAATTACGCATCGTATGAACACCTACAGATTAGGTATACACACACACACACACTCGCGCGCGGCGGCGTGTTGTTGTATCAGTACGCCGCCCCACGCGTCCACACTTGGAACACTTGGAACGTGTACACACTTTATTTATTTATACGGAAATTTGGTCAAAAATGAAGTACCTATTTTTTTTACATAATTCGAATGAGAATCATGTACCGAGTATGCTCCTTAAATATTGATAGTAATTCACCAGTCACCCTGTATATATAAATAGTAAACCCGGCGAACTCCGTTTCGCTACCAGAATGCTTGGTTTTATGTTTCATTTCGTTTGGTTATTACGAGATGAAGAAATTTTTTTTTTTGTTATATATTTGAAAAGGAAATTTTTTATTTCATTTCACAACAGTAATGAATTCATTTCGATTACAAAAATAAAAATAGGTAAAAAAACTTTTTAAGTTAAACGGTTTTACGTGAAACATACATACAAAAACCAAAAAATAATAAAATAGATATGTCAAGTCACACGGAAATGCTGTCGGACAGGAAAAAAAGTATCCTATGTCCTTCTCCTGGCTCTAAACTACCTCAATGCCAATTTTCAGTTAAATCG